AGGTGAGCCTCCAGTGAGGCTGGGGTGGGGACACATATGCTCCTCAACACAGGGGTGAGGATAGGCCCCGCCTGTACCCTGGCTCAGCTGCACATGCTCAGGCCTGGTCTCTAGACACCAGCCCCTAATTCCCCAAGGCAACCAAAGACTAGAGGCTGATAAAGGTGATCAGTGGGTCAACGGGGTTCTCAGGGACCAGGTTCCCCAATCCAGACCTTAGCCCCATCCCCACCTCCCACCCCTGCAGCTTCCTACTCAGTAACCAACCTCCCAGCTACCCATCTAGCTACGCCATCCCCCAGTGTCCCACAAGGGTAGGGACAGGGATCTCCCCAGTCTGAAGCTGTGTGAGGACAGGCCTGCATCATCTCTTCCCTTGGAAAACCCCAACTTCATGTTCTTTGGGGCAGATGTCTGCACCCAGGGTTGGAGCTCAGTGAGGCCAGTGGAGGGCATGAGGGGGACCATACTGCCTGGTCAGGAGGTTTCCCACAGAAAGGGACCCCCAACTTATACAGTGCCCAGGCAACTGGTGACAGGTGCATCAAGCTCAGATATCTGCCATGGGGACAGAGAAGGAAGATGGAGGCAGAAAAGAAAAGAGAATTAGACAGAAATGGATGACAACCCAGAAAGAGAGGACAGGAAGGAGCCTTCGCCATCTCAGAGACGTGAGCAGGGCACAGGTCAGTCATAGTGCCTCCCCTGGGAAAGGAGAGGTGCGAGGCCAGCCACGCCCCACCACTGCCAGGTGCCCCAGGGGTCATCTGATCCAGCCTCCTGCCTCTTCCTAGAACAGGCCATGCAGACAGAGGGCTTCTGCTAGCCTGGTTCTCAGAATCCCAGGGAAGGAGTCTGCACTTCCTGCAGTGACCCGCTGGAGCACTTTACAGTCCCAACACCACGAAGTCATTCCCAGAATCCATAAAAACCTAATAACCTGCTTCTGCAGCCTGATCTCTGGCCCTGGGGCTAGGGTGGTTTCCTCTTGGATCAATGCAAGCCTTCCCCACATCTCTGTGTCTCTTGCCCGACACAAGGCTCTGGACTAGTCGGCCTAGCCCAGGCTCCTCCCCCACTCCCCTGCACCCCAGCATACCTGCCTCTCCCGATGGTAGAGGGAGGCGAGCGTGTAGGGCAGGATCTGCAGGGCGGAGAAGGTGAACCCAGTGAGGGCTGCCGAGGCGGTCACCACAGCCACGCTGCGGGACAGGCACGTGGCACCTGCAGCCACAGGGAAGGCCACCACGCTGGCCAGGTAGACTGCTCGGGTGCCGAATCGCTGCACCAGCCGGTCCATGACCAGAGAGAAGACCAGGGAGATGGCACACTGCAGGAAAAGCCCCAGGCTGCCCATCCGAACGCCTGGGGTGGGGAGGACATCGTTCAGGGCCAGCTGGGGAGGGCCCAGGGCTGTCTGGGGAAGGGACGCAGACCCTGGGGCTGCGGGTACCTACTACATAAGGCCAGCTGTGGACCTGCCCTGCCCCCCTGGTGGCAACGTGGCCAAAACCAATGGCGAAACACAGGGGGAGATGCCCTAAGGGCTGGCAGGGCCTCGGGTTTAGGGACAGGTGGGTGAGGGGAACACAAGGACAGTTCAAGAGGGTTCCCGGAGGCCTGAGCAGGGGCGTGAAGAGGTTATCTGAAGGGCAGCAGGGAGCTGCAGTCAGACAGCAGTCCTCTGCAGCCCTGGAATAAACTCGGCCTTTCCTTCTGCTGAAGGTGGCAAGGATGGCTGGAGACTGGGCCCGTTTTAGTGTCCCGACGGGAGCACTAGGGCCCGGGGCACAAGCTGGGGCATCTCCCTACCCCGCGCCCTCTCAGGGCCACATGGCCTTACCTTCATCATAGTGCCTGCGGGCCTCAGTGCCCGGCTCAGCTCGGGGCACGCCCTGGTACAGCCCCTCACCCACGAAGTCCGTGTAGAACAGCGTGAAGGTCATGAGCGCCATCCAGCTGCACAGCTCGGCCATGAAGAGTCGGCGCAGGGTCCGAGGCACACGGCAGCAGAGCTGGTGCAGCCGGGGAAACAGGGCGCCCAGGTTCCTGAAGGCCAGGCGGGCCCGGCAGGGGCAGCAACGGGGCGGCCTGGAAGGGACCCACAGACACGTCACGGGCGCAAACGCCGGGGCCAGCAAGGGGGCGGCCTGGAAGGGCCCGCCAGCCCCTCCACGGGCTCAGCAGGGCCCAGCGCTGCCTCCTCAGCCACCAACAGTGTGGCTGCCATGCAGGTGAGGAAGATGAGAGTGAGCAGGCCAAAGAGGCACTCTTCCTGGGAGCCCAGGTAGGGGGCCAGGGCGCTGGCGTCCCAGTCGATGGCAGGCAGCAGGTAGCCCAGGCAGCCCCCGAGGCTGATCATGAAGGCGTAGACGGAGAAGGCCTGGCGGCAGTGGTCTGGGTCCCGGAAGAGGTCGGAGAGCAGGGCCTCCAGGGGCGTGAAGCACACCTGGCCACAGAAGTCCAGCAGCCCCACACCCAAGATCAGCAGTGCCAACTCCAGGGGCCTGGCATCTGGGCACAGCAGCCCTGCCAGCCAGCCAGCTCTTGGGATAAGAAAGAGGCTCAGCAGGACGCCTAGGGACAGAGCCCAGATGAAGGGCCGCCGGCGGCCATAGCGCCCGCGCCAGTGGTCACTGGCCGAGCCCAGCAGTGGGACAGAGACGAGGCCCAGCACTGGGCCAATGCCTGCAAGAGCAAGGGACATGAGTCGGTGGCTGGGTCAGTTACTGGGCAAGGGCACCAAGGTCCCTGAGGAGGACAGACATGATGGACTCCTCTACAGCTTAGCAATTAAGAGAGCCAGACCCACATGGCCAAACCCGCAGTTTGAACCCCAGCCTGCGGCTTGAAAAACACTCTGTCACATATGCCTGTGTGCTCCAAATCTGGACAAGGTGGAAAAATGGAGAAGGGATTGCAGCATGACCACACCCCACTGGGAGGTGCTTTCTCCCTCCTTCTCTTCCTCTGTCTCTCTCTGGCAAGCGCATGTACCCTTTAGTAATTTAAAAAGGAAGAGGTGGGACTAGCAGATGGCATAATGGTTATATCATTGGACTCCCATATAGTTGACTGTGGTTCAAGTCCCGGGCCTGTTGGCCTAAAACTAATGCTAGGCATGTGTGCATGCATGCCTAATATCCTGAGAAGAGAATGGAGAAGGGATTGTGGTGTGGCCATCCCTCCAGGGGGTGATTTCTCACTTTCTGTCTCTCTCTGTCTCTTCGGCAAGTGCATGTGCCCCTATAGCAAAAATCTGTCTCTTAAAAAATAGATAGATAAAAAAATTTTTTTAAAAAAAGAAGAGAAAATGATAACGTCACAAAGAGGGCAAACTCTGTCCTAGCCACTGCACTATGCCTCTACAGTGATGCACGAATTTGTGCCTCCAGATAGAGGTAATATATAGAAATGCTCCCGTTTTCAAGTGGGGAAATTAAAGCATGAAGCAACTGAAAAGTGATGCTTATGCAGCAGGAGAGGTAGAGTCTTGGCAGGAAGTGTGACTCCAGGGCCTGCAATCCTGACAATCCTGACAGACCCCTCTTCTTGGGGACAGGAGTCACACAACAGTGACCTCATGCTTTCTGTAGCTTTTGCAGAATTCATCTGCAGGGTCTGGAGCCCAAGCCCACCCCTGTCCTAAGGGTGAAAAAAGCCAAGTCCCACCTCTGTTAAGCAGTGGACAATCTTGGCTAAGGCTCACCTAGCCCCTTAGAATTCGTGTGTGTGTGTGTGTGTGTGTGTGTGTGTGTTTCCCTTGTGAAATGAACAACCTCAAAGAGCTGCTGTAAGGACTAAGTGAGATAATAGATACAAATGACAAAGGGAGTGGGCAAAGGGTAGGAGTAATTTCTCCAGTGGTTCTGATGAGTCTGGCATTGTGCAGGGGCCAGGGACACAGAGGTGACCGGGGTTTGTCCCTGCATGTGCCCCTATAGCAAAAATCTGTCTCTTAAAAAATAGATAGATAAAAAAATTTTTTTAAAAAAAGAAGAGAAAATGATAACGTCACAAAGAGGGCAAACTCTGTCCTAGCCACTGCACTATGCCTCTACAGTGATGCACGAATTTGTGCCTCCAGATAGAGGTAATATATAGAAATGCTCCCGTTTTCAAGTGGGGAAATTAAAGCATGAAGCAACTGAAAAGTGATGCTTATGCAGCAGGAGAGGTAGAGTCTTGGCAGGAAGTGTGACTCCAGGGCCTGCAATCCTGACAATCCTGACAGACCCCTCTTCTTGGGGACAGGAGTCACACAACAGTGACCTCATGCTTTCTGTAGCTTTTGCAGAATTCATCTGCAGGGTCTGGAGCCCAAGCCCACCCCTGTCCTAAGGGTGAAAAAAGCCAAGTCCCACCTCTGTTAAGCAGTGGACAATCTTGGCTAAGGCTCACCTAGCCCCTTAGAATTCGTGTGTGTGTGTGTGTGTGTGTGTTTCCCTTGTGAAATGAACAACCTCAAAGAGCTGCTGTAAGGACTAAGTGAGATAATAGATACAAATGACAAAGGGAGTGGGCAAAGGGTAGGAGTAATTTCTCCAGTGGTTCTGATGAGTCTGGCATTGTGCAGGGGCCAGGGACACAGAGGTGACCGGGGTTTGTCCCTGCAGTCCTTCCTTTTTCTTGGGGTGCCCCTTGTCCCAGGCTCACCCTTCTGTCCAGCCACATCTACCGGCCAGGCGCAGGAACAGCAGGCAGCCACCGCCCCTCCCAGCAGGTCCCTGGGCAAAGGTCCTGCACCCTCCTTCCCAGGGGCGCAGACTGGAGAGGAGGGGAAGACGGAGTGACTCACCCAGCACCATGGTCATGAACTTCTCCTCCACGCCCACTTCCAGCAGCAGGGGCGGCACGTAGGTGATGCCGGCAGCCAGGCACACCTCCAGGCCAAAGGTCAGCAGGTTGACCAGCAGGAGCTGGGCTTTCCGATGCCGCAGCAGGCGGCTCACCCACACCCTCTGGATCATGGCGGGCCAGGCAGGTAGGGCCCTGGGGTCCTTCACGCACTCCAGAACTGCCTCAATTTAGCCCTGCTCCCATAGCAGAGGCCTCTCCTCGGTGCCACCAACTGCCTAGGACTCAGCCGGGTGCCCATTTCTGCCAGCCCTCTGGTGCAGCTCCCGCGTCTCAGCCAGTGCTCCACACCTGTTGCCGTGGGGTGCCTCGGTGGGGACACATCTCATCCTCCAGATCCTGAAAGGGTGGGGACAGTCACACACAGAGTGTTAATTCCTGGAGACTGGTCTCCAGGATTCGCTCTGAATTCTCTGAATCCTGTTCACTCATAGGCCAGCAATGTGGCCCTACCACCTAGGTGCCACCCTGTCGCCTGGTCAGGAAATGCTTGTGAATGTTAGCCTAAGGCTGACACAATGAATAAGGTAAATATGGTTTTTAAACCTCAGCACACTCCAGTGCTAAACAGATGGTGGTTACTCTCTGTTTTGAAATATCTTTGCAATTGCTCTTGCTGGCTAATATGGAAAAAAAAAAAAAATCAAACCAACCCAATTTCCAGTTGCCCAGGCCTGGCTATCAAGGTGCCCCTGGAGACTCTCTGCCAGGCCTGGTCTGTTTGCTCTTCTCACTCCACTTCCCAAAGCTGGCTGTTCAATTCTCCTTTGTTAAAAGCAACACTTCCTATTCCACACTGCCTGGCAATGCGCCAGGTTGCACCATAACCCCCACCCCCAAGGACCAGGACAAAGGCGAAGGGAGCAGAGGTGGTGGCTTGTCCGGTTGGGTTTTAACCCGTCGTTGAAACCACTTACAGAGAGCACCCTGGATGAGCCTTGGCCTGAGGACCTCTCCCGTGGGTTTCTCCCCAAGTTCATGTGCACGGGGAAACAGCAGGCCCACACATGGCTGTCCAGCTGTCACAGGACAGCCCCACTCTCATGGTGTGAAGCTGCAGCACCTGGCAGACCTGTGATGACACCAGTGACCCTCCATTTCCTGGGCAGTCTTTCTCTGCTCCCGCATGGCCCTCCTTGCCGGCCCTGCCTCCTGGGCACGGAGAGAACCTCCGAGGATCCTGCCAGGGAAGGGGGAGTAGGAAGTGGGGGAGGGAGGGAGGGCTCACCCCACAGCCCCCCACACAGGTGGCCTCCAGGTCTTGCTTGACAATGGCACTCACTGCAGTGTGCCCTGCTAGAAGCCAGCCATAAATGTGGCCCTGGGAGGGGGCCAGGAGGTGGAAAACTGGACCCGCAAGGAAAAGGTCCTGGGTTCCTATCCTGGGACCTCCCTGAGCCCACATGATGAGTGTACATCTGTGATCCAGGCTGGAAGAGACAGATGCGCTGTGACATGAAGACCCTGCTGGGGATGTCTGTCTCTCTGTCTCTCTCTCTCTCCCCCTCATGGAAGAAATAAACACTTTTTAAAAAGAGGTATGGATGGGGCCAGTCGGTAGCATAGTGATGGTTAAGGCGCTGGACTTCCATATGGCCAACCACGGTTCAAGTCCTAGACCTGGCAGCTTGAAAATCATGCGGGGCACTTGTGCATGCCCCAAATCCCAGGAGAATGGAGGAGGGATTGCTATGTGGCCATCTCTCTCTCCCCTCCCCTGGGGGGGATTTCTGTCTTCTCTCTGGGTTTCACACACATGCCTTAAGGGAAAAACCTTAACAACAACAACAAAGAGGTGTGGAGGTGAATGACACCTAATCTATCACCCCTCCTAAAATTGAGGCAGGGGACAGAATTCCCCACTCTCCTTCCTGGGTACCTTCCCTTTCTTCTTCACTCAACCTGGGCTGAGGACCTGGTACAGCCCCCTTCCCTTCCCTCACTCTCAGCACCTCATATGAAAGGTACTTAAACTCCTTTTACCTTTTCAAATGACACTGAGCCTCATGGGGCTTTGCAGGGTACAAAGCATGTTACAGGTGCTTCGTGAGCCACCACAGAGCAGAGGGTCAGCAATCCT